AGCAGTATCCATCATCCGGTAACTGTTTATTTACTGCACCATAATGCTTCTATTTATGCTAAGTTAAGTGTCAAATATTTTGCATTACTTCTCACAAGCGTGCATTTGAACTGCCACCCAAAGGTACAAGTCTTTATTTTTCTTATGAACTACTAATTCTCTGAACAAGCTTGTTCTCCACATTTATAAATACTTGTGGTGATGTGATGCACTTGTATCCTGAGTCTATTCAGGACACGTTTCTGGGGTGGAGATTTTACTTTGTGAAACAGTGATTTCTATTCTGTTTGAGTCTCTAAGCTGAAAGTACTTCTGTAATTTCGGAGTAACTCCTTCGTGTAGCTCTTTCTGCACTATCTGGGTGTAACCACACTGTGGTCCCTATCAGGATGGAGAGAGTGAATTGTGTGTTGGTTCTCTTAAATTGCTTAGAAATGAGAGATGTGCTCACAAGAGCACAGCTTTTTCCCTACCAAGGTGTAAAGCATTACTTCCACAATGTTGTTACCTTATGTTTGTCTACTTTGAGTTACATCTTGGCATTATCGGTAGAACAGATCATGTCTTAATCATTCATTGCTAAAGTTGTTAGGTACAGAATATATTATAATTATATTCTTGCTTTATTTCTTAAAGAAGAATTCAGTCATTTTTCCTCTCATATTGTTTCCTGGACTCTCTGTTTCTTAAACTGAAAAGAATGATCTACAAGTCCATTTTATCCCAGTTTCTTATATCGATGTTTTTTGAGATTTACTCATTTTAAGAAAGATCAGAGTGAAAACCTATCATCTGCACTACAGCAAAAGAAAATAGTTCAGCTGACCAATAAATTCTCACAAAGGCAGACTTCAGCTCCTCAGTGCAGCATAATCCTCCTTAGAAGATAATCATCCTATGGGCTTTGGCCACTACCACGTAGGATAGGGAGGGAGGATGGGATGCTGTGCTCCAACACTTAGTGTCTGTTCTGGTAATTCTGAGTCTTTTAGCAAAATGGCAAACTCCTAAAAACTTTAATTACATTTGCTGTAGCCTGGCTTCCTACGGAAATGAGGCTTAAATGCTTCTGCTGTCTCTTAGTCCCCTATGACTAATTTTTGCATTTGTTGGCCAGTTTCAAACTGCAGTTGTAAAAAGGGTTGAAGTCTCAAAGAAAATGCTCCTGCTCAAGAACTCAAGATGTATATACTTGACTGGGAAGGTTAGATGAGCCTTTTTTTAAACCAGTTTCACTGTTGAATGGCATTGTATTCTCTGCTGTGTGTTACCTTGAAAGTGAGTATTTTTTGACTATTTTCTTTTTTTCCTGACATTGTATTATATCCCATAATTAATGTTTTCTGAGGTTTTTTGGTTTTGTTTGTTTGTTTTTAATGAATTGCCATCATATATTATAATTTCTCAGGATTTTTTTTACATTCTACCAGCCAGGAAGCCAGGGCTTTTATTACCTCTTGCAGCAAACCCCAAAGCTTTCCTGCACTCAGCTATATGTTAATTATACCAAGCTTGCCTTTATGTTAATAACAAATACTATGTGCATACCTTTTTTTTTTCCGGATTTTTTTTTTTTTTTTACTATTGTCCACTGTGTAAGAAAGCCTGAAATATTTTTTTTCTTCTATTTTTTCTTTTTTCCATCCTTTCACCTTAGCCTTTCTAGATGGCTTCCAGGACAGAAGATAGATGGCTATTTCTGCACCACAGTGGGGAACCATGACCACAGCCATGGTTAGATATATCTGAGCTAGATTTAGTCTATTTAGCTAGATATTAGGAACCTAGCTATTGGGTAATGAAACAGAGGTTTCCAAGAGTAAAAACTGTAAATACAGAGAATTTGTGTGTGTGTCAAGAAATGTGCACTCGGAAAATACTTCAAGGATTAACATACAGATAAATAGATATCTTTTATGGAGACACTGTGGAGACAGCATATCTGATGAACTGGATGAAACAGAAGATTCCTGCATACTAAAACTATAAAATTATTTCATAATAATGCCAGATTATGCTTTAAGAGGGGATGTATTGGAGATGTGTCTGATTTAAACAGTATTTAAGATCTGATCAGAGTACTTAGTGTACTTAATGTATATATTGTACAGGAATTGAGAGAGACTAATCTTTCAAAGAGCACGGAAGCAACATAGGATTCTAATTATTTGCCTTTTTCTCACACAAAGTAGAGGAGTATCTTAAAACTTCAGGTGTCCCCATATCACTGTAGGTAATAAAAACTGTGCATTTCTTACAGATTTAGATCTGTAAATCTAAAATCCTGTTGGATATTGGTAAAGCAGAGCCTTAAATATCATGATTATCAAGCACAGTAATTCTCATCCACAGAAAAAGCAAAATATACTGCAAGTTTGCTCTTTGATATCTAGGATATCTAGCTCTTGTGCATCTGCTGCAAAAATGCATTAGTGGTTCAGCTGCCACCATCAGCTGTAACTGGCATGTGGAGTAAGTGAGCTGGAAAACATCCCATGGTCCTGCACTGGAATGCAGTAATTGACAGCTTTTTACTGGAAGGTGGCACCAATGCATGAATCTAGCACAGTGTGAAGCTTAGATCTGCAGAATAACTATCCTGCTCTAGCTATTTCAGATACTCTGGAATAACCTCTCTGTTTCTCAAGGAAATTATTTTTATTGGTATATAAATATATTGGGAGAGGGAAAAATGAAAATGAATGATATATTCTGAACTTACCGTAAGAGAATAACTATTTCCATGGTCACCTTTCTTATGAAAACAAGTCTGAAGAAGCTGTATGGAAAGTAGGTAAATCAGTAATTGTGAGAAAGATGCAGAAGGAGATGAGTGAGTTAAAAGAATATGCTACAGAGAAAATAAGAAGGAGTGGGTGTCTATGTAGGCAGTTTTGTTGATGGCAAAATGGTACATGTTCTTATTTTGCTGTGTGCTTTTTCATGATGGAGGAATGGATGTTCTACACAGTGTAAGATGTCATTCTGTTTTCTACTATAAATTTTTCTTCATATGTAGAAGTAATCATTAAAGCTTAGACATATTCTTTAGTAATGAAACTGTACAATGAGAAACTCTTATTTTTGAGAGCTCTTGAATTACACAAACCATTTTTCCTCTTTTATATTGCCTGAGATACACTCTACCCCACAGGTGATTATAAATGTTGTCATGGGTTCGTTCTTGCAAGGGTTGTAGTTTTTTTCCAGATTTTAGCATGGCCCATGCCACAGGTATTTCTGACTGATGTAACCTGCCCAGAAAAGTGAGATTGCAAGTGAGTACTTGTATGTGTTAAAATATTAGTGGACAAATGTGACTTTGGGGCCACAGTCCAAAACCTTAGTGACTGAAGATGTGCACAGACCTTCCTCTTGGTATAACACCAAGCCAGGACGTTTGTGAATTACAGCAAGAATAAATTGTTTCAAGTTGTATTGTAGTTCTGAGATTCTTTAAACCTGCTTGTGAACATCCATGTCACAAACCTTCATAGGATCCATGACTACATTGCTAGGACTTTGTTGGCTGTGCTTAGTTTTCTTGTGAGTTTGAGGTGAGTTCAAGAGCTAAGGCCTCATTTGAACTGCCTTAGAACTTATTTCTTAGTATTTTGTCACTGTTTCTGGGGAGCAGTATTCTTAATCCACCAGTGTTTGACTTCCAGCTACAATGTGATCTATTTGGTGACAGACCTTGAGCCTGGATGAAGCTTTCCAGAAGGGGGACTCGTGGAGAAGATGTGTAGAAGGCATTGGAGACGCACAAACACTTCTGTGTTTGTTTCCAAACCTCAGAGGTATTGACAGGACACAGGGTGAACTTCTGTGTACTAACCTGGCAGAACACAGTTAGTGTTGGTAATTGCTGTAGATTCTTGATAGACACTTTGGGTGCAGGACAGGCAGTATATACTCACCGCATCACAGTACCTAGTAGATTTTTGATGCCAAGAAATGGCCGTGCATTTGAAGCAGGGGAATTCTTATAGTGTATACATGCAATGCTTTCCTCATCCTTGCCAGTGGGATGGCTAGGACAATAAAGAAGGCAGTTACTATTGTCCTGTGAGTGTTGGTTTATTAGTTCACTGCAGGTCTGTGAGCCTCCACTTCAGTACTAGAAAGCCAGTTTGGTGCAAGGCTGCAGTCGGCTGCACAGGTGGTGCTGCTGGCTACTGTACCACTGAAGGAAGTAGTTTTTGAGACTGGTCTTTCTGAATGACTCTATCAGTAACATGTATTCATGGAGCACATAAATAGGAAAGAATAATACTGATATTTTTATAAGTCTCAGCTGACCACAAAAGTCTTCTTCAAGAATATCAGTGTGGAAGTCCTCAGATGTCTGTTGCGTGCTGAGGTCTTGGCAAATAGAATTTAACTTTCTTCAAATAGCAGATCAGATTGTCTTCATGTTTTGAGAACTTTCTTGTTCATTTTTGTTGTGGCTTGTGAAACTGTGCTTGGTTCCAAGGTGTTTGATGGGAACGCTGCAGGCCGTGTGCATTTAGCTGGCTGAAGGTGCTAGATACAAACATGACTGGTACATGATCATGACCACTGCCATCCTCATTGTAATTTGCTACGCAAATAGCATGTATGCTGCTCCAGGGGAAAAAAATCTCATTTTTTTTCTGTGTACAAGTCACTGTTGCAGAGGTGATAAACATTTAATCTTAAAATAAATTTTGGGGAGGTGGAAGTCTACCTGAATCCACCGAAGCAAACTGCAGGCCTCTCCTCCATATGGTCTTTAGTCTGATATCAACTTAGAGACCTGTAGTATGCTGGAGTTTGCTGTCTTGTGACTTTTCTGAGATAGCACATAAAATTGTATTGCAGACTGGTTAACCAAAATGACAAGAGCAGAGAGGTGGCTTGTAACCCAGGTGCTGAAACTTCTGGACAAATCTTCAGTGACTATTAATAATTTATTCTCTATGGAAAACTGTCAAGTAGTTCCTGATTTTTTTTCCCCCCTCTTTTTTCCAGGTAAATATTTTTAGTATGCTCAGCTGAGATGTTATAGCTCATTGAGAGCAAAACTGGTTCCCTTTGGAATATGGCCCCGCACACCCACTCACATACTTCTCTGACTGCATGTGCCCTGGTTTGTTCCTGCTCTTCTCTCCTTGCCAGCAAGGTCTCTTCTAGTGCTACTTCTCTTTGAATTAGAGCCAGTCGGACCAAATGCTTTTTATCTTGACATCCCTTCACAGAGATTTCATCCCATCCCTTACGGAGTTTTTATCTCTTCAGAGATTTTTAAAGCATATCCCAGTATCAGCTTCTGTGCTGTATCAAAACTTATAGATCACACTGGAGCAATAGTCCTGTGATTCTCTGGTTAGCCAGTATAATTCTGCATTGCAGTATCTAGGGTTGTTTGACATAGATGAGCATGTTGCTGGAGAAATGGTGCAAACCATGTGACTGAAGACTTACATGCTATTTAAATGCTGTTTAAATCCACATAAAGTAATAAATAGCTGAGCCCAGGAGGAACATGTGAAACAAATTCCAGGAAATACTGGCTTACAGAACTGTAGAGTGGCACTGAAGACTGTCAGCCCTCGGTTCCATCATCTGGGCTTCAAACTGGATTAGGTGGTACCTATGCAGATGTGAAAATGAAGCTTTAACCTATAACCATGGCAAGCTGAGGTTCAAAGCCAGCTCTAGATCTGAGATTTCTTTTCTGAATGCTGTTAGTAGTATTTGTGCTAATAAACAGCTTAGAATAAGCTTGCAGTGTAGTGAGAAATATTGGTCTCAGTAGGACTGTCAGGTTAAAATAATGTTTTGTTTTTAGCAATTTACAGTTTGAAGCAAATCAATTAAATATCAAAGCTTCATTACTTAAGCAGTTCAATTACATTTTGCACTTCTTTCTCTGGTTTTGTAATGTTGGAGTAAATGGGCAAATGCTGTGGTGTTTGTGTTCAAAAACATGTAAACTTTTTTTTTGTTGTTGTTGCAAGGCAAAAAAAAGATTGCATTTCTAATAACACTAGGTTGTATGGGAGCCTTAACCTGCAAGATGTGGCCAGACTTACACGTTTGCATGATTGTAGTGAAGCTGTGTGATACATTTCAGAATTGATACCTACATCACCACCGCTAACAAGGGGACAGTCTGCAAGTTGGATCAGAATTTGACTCTGCTTCCATTCCTGAGTGTAATGTGTGGGCAATGATAGTCTTTGTATAGAGATTTATTTCATCTTTTAATGTCAGGGGAGTTTGATCTGCTGCTTCTGCTTTTGGAATGCTCGTTGTGGAAGTATGTCAAGGAGACAAAACTATCATCCTGTTCCTGATAATGCAGAAAGCAGAGTTCTCAAAGCTGGGAGTTGTTTAGTCATCCTTCTGCCTATCCACATGGCAGGAAAGGAGTAAGATCTTCTGTCATCCTTCTACATGAGATACTGAGCCAGCAGGAAAACCCTGTTCATAATGTTGATCTGTAAGTTGGAGCTCAGCTTTGCATCTTCTAACATAGCTAAAACTCATTCTGGTTTTGATGATGAGTAAAATTTATATTCAGATGTTTCATGTCTCTGTACAATATAGTCTGCATATTATTTTATATGTAGTTGATACACCTTCCTTCATAGCATGATTTCTGTTATTGAAGTTATTTTGTCTTCTTTATCCATGAAGCACCTAACTAGTGTGTATCTTGAATTTCAGCTTTTTCTGATACCTGTTTCATTCTACATTTCCTTTTTGTATAATTGCTTCTTTTCCTCCATTGAGATTATCTGTCTCTGTAGGGTGAAATACACTTTTCAGTCTACACAGATCATCTGTATGTGTGTGTAATATACTTTTATTAATATTCATGTCTTCATATCATGCAATTTTAATAATAAATGTTACTGTTGGATTCAAATCTGCCCATATAATGCCAAAGAAACACATTTTAGAATACATTTTACTTCTGCTAAACATGAGATTTATCTTTCTGAGTTCAACATCAGCTTTGTACTTGAAGATCATGTCATGTTGGATGACTTCAAATTTACAGAGAATTTAGTGATTTTGTTTAATGAATTTTTTCTGAATTGGCCTTACAATAAGAAAAATGACCATTTTTTCTTTCTTGTTAATAGCAAGCTACTTCTTTTCTAATGCCCAGTTTTGCTTTTAGTTAGCTTATTAACTACTTTTTTTCTTTTTCTCTTTGAGTGAGTGTAACCATCCTTCTAAATTTTAAATAAGTTATAAATTTTTAATTCTGAGTTTGAGGCTCAGTCCACATACTGAGTCATTGTTTAATGCCAGATTTTCCACTGATTGTATTGTTTGCTTCTCGGACATAAAGATTAGCTCTCTTGAGCTTGGGAAGAATGCTAAAAATCAGTCTTTATCAAAGCAACATTTATAAAAACTTATTTTTAGACTTTCCTTCTTGGTCTTCCACCTCATTGTGCAATATATAATATGCACAAAGCCCTGGGTGAACAGTGCTTGTGTGTTCAGCATCTGGCCCTTGTTGTGCAGTTCATCCCAATGACCTGATATGGAACAGGATTCCTGTCTCCCTCTCTCCCAGACTGAGCTGCTTTAAATTAATACATTTCCAGTGGACAACCAGGTCAATACTGAAGTTACTGATAGATTGGAGACAATTGCAACTTTTGAGATACGTTCAAATGCTGTCATATTTAACTACTATTTTTCTGTTTTAAATTTGAAGGATTGAAATCAACAGGTTAATTGCTGAACATGGAGTGAGACAGAAGAGAATTATGTTCTGCTTCCTTTTCACGTTTTTCATTTTCACGAACGGCAGTTTTCCGTGTTTCAGGTGGTAGCTTAAGGCAAGAAAATCTTGGCAACAGAAGTCTTCACAGAAAGCTTGAATACCAGGCAGGTTGCATTAGACGAAGTGTTTACATTGCATTCTCATGATGCAGAAACAGTGCCTTAATTGATAGGTGCACCATGTGGTGGAAGAAATAATGGGATTCACATTCTAGCTCATTCCCATCACAGAACAAAAATCTCTGATCTATTTGTATGTAATAGTTAAACAAGCTAAGGGCTCAAATTGCCAGTCATCAAATCTGCTGTTCTCTTCCATTCTTCCCATAAGCTTTGTATTCTTTTCTTCTTATGATAAAAAGAGGCCATTATTTGTTTTTTCCTGTCATCATGATTTTTGATAAAATATTAAAGTAAAATAAATGTAAACTGTTTTTCTTTGAGGCACCTCATTGTTTCCTTTGTGAAGAGCTAAATTGGTGGAAGAACTTTCCACTGGACTATAGCCTTAGCTTCTCAGAGAAATAATTAGCATCTGAAGCCAAGATACTATGTTTATGGCCTGTTGGCCTTGTTTGTCTTTGGGAATGCCATGTCTCTGTTCCTGGTATAGTCCCTGTTCTCTGAATCTTGAAATTTGTAGACCTGAAATAGCAACATAAAGGCATCCTAGTGCCCCAGAGAAAATGAGATAATCTGCAACTGCAGCGCTTTGAACTGCATTTTTGGTGCTTTTCCTGTATATACAGTATCAATAGACACTGTGTAAAGAATGCAACTAGTGACACCAAAATTCAAACTATTTTTATACATATATGATTTTTGCACTATGATCATTAATTGATATGATCTTCAAGCAAACAACCCTTTATATATAGCCAACTCTAGAAACAACAGGTACTAAAATGCGTGGTGCAATGGTAAATCATAATGATCAGTTGCTAATTTTTTCTTCAGTTTGTTCTTGGGCCTTTTATTATTCCTGTCCTTGTTTCTTACATAGCTGTTTTTTATTGCATGCTGTGCTTGATTTCAAGCAGCACCATGATTGTATATGGCAAGGTGTTTACAGTAGGTGACTCGGGTCAAAAAGCATGTTCTGAAAGTCTTTGTCCTTTTCTCTGCTCCATTTTAACATGTATAATCTTCATGTACTGCTTTTTACATACATCTTTTGTCACTACAGCTGTCTTTCATCATGAAGGAGTGAACTAAACTCTTTTCAGAATTTCTTTAATGCCACTTTTGATTAGTTGGCAGATGTTACCGAGTGACCGTGGTTCACCCTGGCCCCTGCTGATCCCCAAGTGCCATATGTGTCTGCGAGACAGGTGGCTGAATGCAGGAGTCTCAGCTAGGGAGGCCTGCCTCTCAGTGGATGCTCTCTGAAAGATGAAGATGTTTCTACGATGGATGAGCATTCTTGTTGGTAGATTTTTAATGCAAAAAGAGGCTACTGTGATAATAACTCACTTAACGTCTAATTTGAGACCTAAAGCATCTTTCAGTAATTTCTGCATGTGTTCATTAACTTGTAAATGTCGGCATCTGCTCTCTCTGTGAATGCTCTACTGTCAAAGAATGTACCAATTTCTTTACTTACCTAATTCGTTGACTATTTATTCCTCTGCCTCAGGAATCTCTTCTTAGTTACACTGTGATTATGGCTGCATAGCAAATGTAATACAAATAAAAATAGAGCTTCTGTGTTATAAATATGAGTTAAATTAGGCAGAAGTTTATTTTTAGGTTACTGATTATACTGATGATCAATGTTTTTAACAAGAGTGCTCTTTGTGCTGTGCAGCAATTTTTACAATGAAATTGTACTCTCATCATTGTGTTGACATGAAAGAGCAGGGGACTTGCTGGCAGACATATCTGGGTTAGGCTGCACTAACTCATTAGAAACTCCTAAAGCAGGATTACATAAATGGGACCCTATCTTCTCAGGTTAAATGTAGTTCTGTAGTTTAATATGTGGCTACCATAAAGTCACCCTGTATTGACTGACAGTAGTAGTCTGATTTGTTCACATTTTCAGTGCTATGCTTAAAAAAACCCCAGTGAAAACATAAATAAAATTCGCAGGTGAATCTTTCGTGGAATTCATTGTGAGCCTCTTGATGCTATTTAGGGCAGCGTGGGTTTTTCTGAATGAAAGTATTAATTAACTAGTCAGATTGGAATAAATTTGAAATATATACAGCATACTTTTTGTTAATCTATTTTTTCTTTAATCAAGTTATCAAAAGAATTTTTTACTTTTTAGGCTATAATCTTGAAGGGTGCTTCAGCAAAAGGACAGATAATGCTACTTTAACAATCTACCGATTAAAA